ATCGCTCTCCTGACCAAACTATGGGGACCACATTTCCCAGATTGCGGCTACCCCCTATATTTTGAAGGTTAGAAATCCAAATATGTAAAAAAAAATACATGTTTATTCAGAGAAAGTACGTTTTTGTGTCTGATTTCGTAACTTAATTAATAGTTAGCACTAATTAATTAGCATATTTGAGGTCACCCCCAAAAACCATTAAGATTGATACTTAGTTTGTGAAAATCCGATGTTTAGAACGAAAGTTATTCAGGGTGATATCTTTTTTTTTTTGCGGACTGTACACTCTATCCCCTGAGCAGGCGCGGCTCTCGAGCTGGCATAGCAGTAGCTCGATTTATTTTATGTTTCAATGAAAAGTTTCAGTTATGAATTAAAACAAGTAAATTTCTTAAGGTGGTTCATACGACTCTTAAGCATCCAATTTCTTTTTACCTTTTAATTTCTCCAAATGGGTTGAATGTGTTAGAAATCATAGCTGATATAATTGTTGTTTCTATATTGAATAAAACCAGATAATGGTATGATATTTATGAAAATCAATTAACTCCAAATGCTTTGTAATTTTTTTTTATTTTTAAAAGTTCTCAGAATTTAAAATTAAAAGAAATATATATCATTTTGTTTGTTTGTTTTCGAACATCGTCGTTTTCTTACAAAACAGAAACTCACTCTTGCTAGTTTGCTGCAGTTTAATTGCAATTTAAACATTCCATGAAACTTTTTAATTATCATAAAAATCTCATTGTGTTAATTTTTCTTTAATCTTTCTCTTGAAATGACTTTTTTTCAATTTATAATTTGTTTTGCAATCATACATTTTCGTATTTGTTTTATTAAAGTTATAATTTCATTCAAATATGATAAATTAATACAAAGAAGTGTTGCATATTAACGGAAATTTATAAAAAATTCCGTTTCATTAGCTGTTACGAAATAATTCATTCGATTGAAATTATTAAATAAGAAAAATATGAAATATATGTGCAAATTTTTTTATTTTTACTTTCTTAAATTTCCTAAAAGAATACATTTCGAAATAAAAATCATAAATCTCTTTATACAACAATAGATTAACAATCGAAATCCACGAAATTAACAATCGCAATGAAAAACAATAAATATTATTTTGTAATAATCATTTTGTCTATTAACAAAAGATAAATATTCATTAAAATCTTTAAATTCAATGAAAAATAATTGCAAGAAGCAATATTTATTGTATTCGTACTTACTAAAAAAAGTATTTGAAAGGAATTAAATTTTACAATAGCAGTTTTTCAAGTACCTTTATGTTTTACTGAATTACTTTCGTTGATAAGTTAATTGTTTATCTCTAAACAATTTATTGCGGATGAATCTAATTACATTATACCAAAGGGTGCTCCGAGAAAAAGCCGAGTGTTCCGTGAAAGGTTAAAAGGGGTTTAAAGAATAAAGACTTGTATTTACTTAAAAGAAAAGATTTTTGAAAACTGTATTTATAATTCGATCAAATTAGTAATCGAATAGTCATTTAATATTTCAGTTCTCTTTGTGAAATTAAAGTAAAATACCAAAAAGATAATATTTAAAATTATTACTTTTCTAATGAATCAATATTGAATTAATTTTGAAATGGGTCTGCATCTTGGAAAAAACTGCATTTGTATTTCCTATTCTACTTTTAAAATCAAAATAAAGCAACTAAATTCGTTTGTATGGAAATATGTTTTTCTGGTAACTGTTTATAGAAATTCTTTTAGCTTTCCTTTCAACGAAAATCATAATTATGCTTATTTATTTCATATTGAGCTTAGTTTATACTGAAACCGAAATTAAAACTTAATTAGAAACAGCTGCAGAATTGCGAATTCAATTATCGGATATAAAACCTAATTTTAGACTACAAATGAGAAAAAAAACTATTAAAAAATTTATTCCTCTAATTAAATATTTTTTTTTAAACTTGAGAAGTCTTTTAATGATTATTATACTTGCAATTGTTTTTATATACATTATTATTTAAGGCTGTTTTTTGAAGATTCCGTCGTAATATGAAATGATGCTTTCTGCGAATACTATGCTATTTTTATACTGTGAGTAGGCAACTGTTAGGTTAAGTTTAACCTATCTAAAGCCAGCACTCTCTGCTCTTATTTTGAAAATGGCGCAAAATGTCACTACGGAGGAAAGCCACAGTTTTATGAAAATGAAAAGCGTTTGGAGTCTAACTTTTTAATATTTAAAAATTTACTCCAATGCTGCAATACCTAGGCTCATAAAAATTTACAAAAACTGAGTGTGAGGTAGATGAGTATGATAATTTTCATCTAGGTAGGAAAATGCCTCTAAATTAGTGATTCAAGAAAAATTAATAGCTTTTAAAATATTTGAGTTATTTGTCTTTTCTAAAGCCCAGATAATTCGTCACGGCAAGATTAAACATATAGTTCAAAATCATCGCATTGCTTCAAGTGCAAATTACTCAAGCTATGCTTTCTTTATTTTCCTTGGCGACAGAGCTTCGAAAAACAGAGTTAAAAAGTCAGGGTTCCGCCGAAAGATATTTGATTATTTAGGGTTCTAAAGCCAAAAAAATTTGGGAACCACTGTTTATAGTAACCTGTTACTCTTGTGTGATAATTGTGTTTCCTAATTAGTTCATTTTTATGTTAAATTTTAAATTTTAATACAGAACTGTCTCAGTTTCTTATAGAGCTTAAGCAAAACTTGGTGTTCTCTGGATGTGTTCCATGAAAATACTAAAACTGTTTATTGAATATAAACACATGTTATTACTCAAGCTTACTAAGAGTCCAATAGTTAGAAAGAAAAAAACAAACTCAATTACAATCAAAGGTTTTTACTTTCTAAATTTTTTTAACCCCTTCTATAGTGTTTCAATGTGAATGAATTCTCCTCCCCCTCCGAGAAGATGATCAAAACAAGTGATCCGAAATAGGTTTGCTGTTTTTTAAAGGTATATTGCAAACAACGCTCTATATTGAAAAATTTTAGGCACAAAATTAATAAATTGGTAATTTCGGAAAAAATGAGCACCTATATAACATGTTTTGTTTCAAATCTCTTTACACATACTCAATCTTCAATCTTCAATCTACTCATTTCAAATCTTTTTATTCTATGAAAAATTTAGAAATACTAGAATTTCAATGGAAAAGTAGCAGGCATTTCTAGTTTATATGAGTATTTAAGAAAATTGTTCCTGCAATTTTCATGTTGTACAGTTAAGGCCTTACTCAAGGGGATAGGGAAGAAAGAGGGACAAGTGTCATTGGCCCCAAACCGCTGAGGGCCAGATTACAATTCCTTTCAAAAATATGGTTTTATTAATGATTTTTTTAAAAAGAAAATGGCGGAGAATTTCTTTATATCAATATAAAAATTACAGTTTTAAATAAAGGATCTTAAAAAAATTCTATAAAATATTAAAATAAGAAGGCTTTTTTAGTACTTTAGGAATGGTCCCGTAAAATTTTTTTGCAACCACGGGTGAAGCTATCTGCTTTCTCCGTTGCACTGCAGCTTTCGTGGAACAATTCACCATCTATCCTAAAAAAACAAACAAACGCTACCGGAAGTCTTGAGGTCCTCTTCTGACGTCATAACATTAAAGTGATTATTTCTTTTTTTGACACTTTTGATTTGTTTGTATATACTCGGAATATTTAGTTTTTCTTAAATTAATTTTTGTGCCGTGTTCTTGTGAAAAAATGTGTTCTTCATATTTTAATATCATATAAAGATATAAATTTTTTTTTGGGGGAAATTATCCTAAATTTGTATTGCAATTACATGATAGTTAATTACAGATTTGTATAGCAATTACAATTTGGTTTACACCAGCAGAAATTCTTCTACTTGAATCTTATCTTATACCGGAAGTTGAAACAACCTCTACAAATACTGTCCCCTACCGTGAAAAACACGAAACGCTGTCGAGAATAAGGTGAATATAGGCATAAATTAAGAGAGGAAGGGCACGTGGAAAGGGTTTTGAAATGGAATAAAACAGTGCTATAGTTTGTCTAAAATGAGAACTCCCCCAGACATTCGTCTGAACCTGTGGCGGTGACTATGGTAACGAGGTATGACTATTTCAAGTAGGGGTGCGGGGTCACTCTTTTGGAGTTGTTTCGCCTCGTGTCAGTGAGAGAAAGGGAACATCTTTCTCCGGTCAATTGTGTTAGTCCCAGTACCCTCCCTGAAATGCGCCATTCTTGTTTCCGTGGCACCAGATGGCCTCAAACTTTGTGGCGAGAGGAGTTCTTAGCTTAGACAAACTATATTATTGAGCTAAATCTTTATTGTCTGATAGGGTATGCTTCTTTAATAATAATAGGGCATGAATCCAACAAATAAGAAGAGCTTTGAAACAAGAGAACATGAGAGAGTTGACACAGTAAAACAAACTTATCAAGACTGACGCCATAAATTAATCAACAACAATGTGCCATTATGGAATATTTTTTCTTCAGTAAAATGAAATTGAGAGTTTCTTTGCTAGAAATCAGAACTTATTCCGCCAAAATCGAGGTACCAGTTTTACTCCACTCTTCTCCATAGATGTAACATAATAAAAAAAAAGATAAAAGAAAAGAGAGATTAACGAAGAAAATGAAGAAAAATAATAAGTTTCATTTATTGCTCATGAACTGCAAGTACATAAAACTCATAAAATAAGTTAAAAATATGGAGAAAACATGGAAAAAATATATATACTTTTAAAATAAAAGATAAAAAATTTTTTTAAAATCAGATATTTTCAAAATATTTTTACAAAATTAAAAAAAATATTAAGAATTTGTTAAAAAATAGGGAAACGATATAATCTCATCATCAGCTCACACGATTATATCAGTAAAAAAATTGAGCTAGAAGAGTCCCGAAATTTTAGCAGCATTTTCAATTTCTCCCCCTTATATGTATATTACCCAGAATTTTTCCAAAGACCATGCTCTACCTTTCAGAAAGAGTAAATTATGAACAAGAAACACATGAAAATTAAAGACAAATAAATGAAAATATAATATAAAATGATAAATAAATATACTTTAAAATTGTTGTTTCTTTGTGGGAAAGAAAAGAGGGGTTGGTGAAAAACTTTTTTAAATCGACATTTTTTTAAAAATATTATGTTTTTGAATGCATAAAACTGCGAGGAAATTTGAAAATTATTGGTTTTAAAGTCATCAATATATGATCTTTTACTGAACAATTTGTCCTCATGAAGAAATCTTTTTTTAATTTTTACAAACTCATTATTTTTTATTTATTATTTCACATTTTCAAAAGACTGAACTCAAAAACAATGATCATATTGCAATATCCTTTCATTAACGATTCGATTACTCAAAGCATCCTAAAAGTAATGAAGAAATACGACTTTTAGTTATTTTTTTTCATGATTTCGATTGTTTAAAATATAATTAAAACCTTTATAGGATATTTCTACCATTAAAATTTTCATATAAAATAGAGAACTTGCTTGTCATATTTATTGCCTATTTTGTCTTCCCAACGATTAGTTTTATTCTAAATCGAGAAAATGAAATTCGTTATCGCTTTGTGCTTTACCCTGTTGGTGCTTAGCATTACTGAAGGTAAGTAAATTATTAATATATTTCATTATTTCTGGCTTTCTTTGGCAAATACTCCATTATAGTTATAAGTCAAATGAAGAAAGAGCTAAAAGATTTTAATGTTGAATACAAAAATTATGATATTCCGTATAAAACTTGAACAACCTATCATTAAAGCAATTGTTTGAGGTATGATATGTTACGCTTCTCTATTATAGAACAGCGTGCATTAATATAAGAATTCGTGCAGTATTAGAAACGGTTGTGGTACTGAAAACTGACAATCAGTGTTAGTAGAATTCGATCAGATTTGCTATATCACAGCACGGTTAGTAAACTTTAAACCTTGATCCCAGTATTGATTAACAGTCATAGAATTGTAAATTCAATTTGCCATATCTCGTTCTTATTTGTGTGGTGAAGGGGGGATAGCCTGGTTGGCTGGACATTGGACTCGCGTTCATGAGAACGGTAGTTCAAATCCAACCGGTCGAAGAATCCCCGTGTATTAGATTGTGATTTGTGCTCGTTAAACAGGATCACAAAGTCCTTCAAGTTCCCATAACAAATTAGTACCTCTAGAGGATCTGAATTGGAGATTGATCGTTCTCTGGTTCCGGTCAAAATTACGATCCGTGGATGAATGAATTGAGTATTATTGGGTCCTCCCTATAAAACGGACTGTGACGTGTGTGTGGCTGCAGTTGTATTCTTTTCCATAGCTGACGCCAATAAAAAAATAAGAAACGCACCCTCTGCCTTTAAAAATCACTTGATTTCAAGCAGGCTTGCTGGTATTGGCAAGTGGCATAAGTGACAATAACCACAACTGATGCTGTAGCAATCAGAGTCACCAATAATAAATGAAATGGTAGCGATTAAAATTTCTCACCACTTTAAATATTTAAGTAAAGTGTCCTATTGTAATGGAGAAAGTTGATATAAAAGGAATAAAATACTAGGCGTTTTGATTAATGCAACATCGTACCTACCATGATATTTCAATTTACAGTAGCGTTCCAAATGAAAATTTGAGTAAGTTCATTTTTTAGAATGCCGTACTTTATTTTACGTTAATGTTCTTGAAAAAACGAAGATCTCTTAGGACCTTCCAGTGCAAGAATACTGAGGACAATTTTTTTAAAGTACTCTGTGCTCATAGTTGCAATGAATGTTATTTTAATGAATATTATGAATAATTGGGAATATTACGCCTACACATTTGTTGAAAACTAGGTTAAGCCTTCACTTCTTTTTTGCTGTTGTATTTTTGCATTTATATTTGTTATGAATTTGAATAAAATAATTTTTTACCTTGCATAATTATGCAGCAATAATTAAATTTTAAATTTGACTTTTTTAAAAAAATTTATATCTTGTATTTGAGGGAGTTGTAAAAAGTGCATACTTGTAATTTTTTGTACAAGAGTTCATGGGATTTTGTATTTATTTTAAAAGTATTGAAGTTTAGCCTTAATATTTAGACATAATTCAACCATAATGTGATTAAATCTTGAGCATATAAAAGCATTTTTTTAAAACACCTATGGCAGTTTTCTATCTCTGCGCTATAGCAGGTTTTTGTGGTACGTTTTGCTCAACTAGTAGTGAATCGCCTTACAAATGCAATTGACTCCTGTGGTACAAAAATCACAGATATTCTGCAAAAATTAAGCACATGCACAGTGCGCAAACAAAAAAAAGCAAAAAATCGAAGCATTTCGATTTATGATCGTAATTTCACGTGTCAGGATTGAATCCTTGAGATTGGAGGAGGTGATCTCAAATGTGCTAATCAATTGGCGCAGACGATATTTTAAGTTATGAAATCAGACACTTTCACTTGTCATGCCCCTTTTTTGACTGATTTAGATTTCTTGCCCTCAAAATTTGGGGGGAGGGTAAAATGGTTATAATAATAAATAGTTTGGTCAGAAGAGCGATCGAAAGCTTGAATCAATTAATGTTAATTTTACTTTTTGCGTAATTCGCCATATCTTGAAAACTTTTTTAAGCGAATTGAAAAATTTTTGCACATAATTATGAAATTTGTTTGTCTAAAGATAATTGACCAGGCAAACTAAATGAATTTGAATAATTATTAATTATTATTTTATTTAATAATGGTCAAAAACATTTCGAAATAAAAGATATAAAAATTTTTACATCATTTTTAAGAATGTAATGTTTTGTAACAAAATACTAAATATGAAAGAAATCGGTCGAATAGTTCTTGAGAAATTGAATTTTAAACAAAGTCAGATATTTGATATTGAACTGGGCGCCAACCAACCCCAACCCCACACTAACTACGCCTATGTATAGATAAAGGCATACGGCCCTATTGTAACCTTTTAAATCCATGACCACCACAAAATTAATATATTCTTAGTGAGAAACCTAAATTCTCCTGAGGAAATATATTTTGTTTTTAATTCTTTCACCTTTTCTACGAAGTACATTTAGTGTTGAAATTTTTTACTCTATATCACAGAAATATATTTTTGTTGTCAAATAGTTAAGATAAATATGATGGCATCACTAGTTTGTGAAACTGTTTTGGACAATTTGAACAATGGGATGCCTGCAAGCGACGTAGAGTGGGCATATCGATCCAGATCGTTTGCTGAAACGTGGGATTTGTTTACGTTAGCAACTGTGCTTTCCGTTCTATTTTGTGTAAATCAAGTCCGTCAAGCATCAATTCTCTTAAATGACATATTCTATATTCTTTCACAATAATTCCTTCACAAATATTTCAATTTTTTTCACTACAAATTTCTTACTTAATACAAAGACAGGCACGAAACCATGTCAAACATAAACAAATTAACTATGCATCGAAGTTGCCAGGTGTGCAGAACAAAAATTATCACATCTATATATATATTTCTCTTACACGGCACCAAAAAAAAGCCTCATTACAACTCCCCGAATGGCAACGTTAGAAAATCGACCAATGATTGCTGCTAAAAATGTCTCATGGCAAATCTATATGAGGTGGCTCAACATATAGCGCTTTTAAAAACGGAAACATTAACCAGAGTGAGCATTATCAGGTTGTTCAATTCAGGTTCAGGAGTTGGCGAGCATTAGAGAGCAGGGGGCGGAGCCTCCTAGTAAACAAATAATAAATCTAAGTCAAGTAAAAGGCGTAGGCGAGAAATAATTGTATTTCTGCAATTTCAATGTACGATACGACGCTGTATTTAATTAACTTCGCGTTAATTAACATTCTAACTTATGTTTAGAAACTTAGCTCAACTTTAACACTCCATTTTACTCATAAATGATCAGCTGGCGCTGACGTCGTAGGTCACATGGGTGGGTATTCGTGATCTTCTTCTTCTTGAAGTGCAAGCACTCAATTAAATTAATATTTTGCCCTGGACAAACATTATATTTTAAGATTTCTGATATTGTGTTTTTAAAAGCAGTTATAAAAAGTAATTATTTTTCTCTTCTAGTAAAAAGTGACTATTATGCAGATCATGAAGCAAGTCCTGCACCAGAAGGATCACACTCAAATCACCAAGTCGGTGACGGTTCACATCATGTTGAACAAAAATTGCCTAACCCATCAGACTATGCACAGCTTCCACATCTTAAGAAATGTAAGACATATGTGTTAATTTGAACTTTTTATTTTACAGGAGAAAACTGAACAGGAAATTTAAATTCTTCTTTAATCTAATATATAAAAAAAAACTTGCTATTTTGTGAAAATTAAAAAAAATAATGCAGTCGAACCTCTATTTAACGAAGTTGATAAATCCCGATAATAAGATCGTTATATGGAAAATTCGTTAAATAGAAAATCGCCCTTTAAAATGCTTAAACAACACCTTGATACCATTGATACAACTTTATCTTGTAAACTAGTATCTATTATTTATTTTATAAATCATAAGTCTTAACCATAAAAGAAAGCTGAATCTAAAACAAGAACATTATCCATTGTTACATTATCATGCGACCTACATTTTCAACTAAAAACAGCTGAATTAATGCATGAAATTTTGACTGTATTTGCTGTATAAAATTATAACTGAAAAATAATTTTAAATAGGGAAAGTGGATCTCAAAGAAAAATTCGTTAAATTAAAAATTCACTTCGCAATTTGGAAGTTATTTTACGCAGAAATTTCCAAAATGTTCTTGGTTCCTCAAAAAATTCGCAAAATAGAGAAATTCGAAAAATGGAAGTTCGTTAAATAGAAGTCCGACTGAACTCAATGAATTCTTATAACTAACTTCATATTAAAGTAGTGGAACCTCGATCGATCGTTTTTCATGGGATCATTGATTTTAAAGGTTTGGAAAATGGAAAACGATAAATGCGGGTGAATATTAAATATCAAACAATGACGTGAAAATGCAAGAAGAAGTAATAAAATAATTTAAGGGGAAGAGCACATTTCATGTTTATGGTTTTGAAACCGTTTACGACTAGTATGGTTAAGAAATCATGAATACAAAACTATACGGTTTTCTTAATCTTTTATAACTATCATTGTTACAAAACATTAAAAAAGAAACTTAACTGGACATTGAGGATAGTTTAACAGCTTTATGGTGCTGCCAAGCCACCTATCCGTGAATCAGAGTGTCGTATTTCAATAGCCCAGGGTCACATATTGGAGAGTTCGCAAACTCTTCATGTGTTGAAGGGAATGGAAAAAATATTGTTTTGAAAACGCTGTTATTGGAAATCTTATGGACTGCATTTCTGAAGTTGTATTATTATCTGATTCCGAAGCCGAACTTCAAGCAATTGATGCAGCTAGTCGCTCCAGAACTTAAAAACCATCAATAGTTGCTTAATTTTTCTCTACTCCCAGAAAACAAAATAAGGTCAACAAATCCTTTTAATGTAAACCTAAAAAGGTTTGTAATACGGTTTACGTGTAAGCCTTCGAAGCTTAAAACTAGATCTGTGACATTCTGCTTTATTCCAAACACATTACTCTTATCCAAAACCTTGGAAAACAACCTTCTGTATAAAAACCTTAAATCGAGGCTGACTTAGGGTTTTAAAGCGTGAAGAAATCCTTTAATAAAGCTAGTCTCAAAGTTAAAATAATCTTAAATCTAGATCATTATAAGGTTTCTTTTCACAAAGTCTTGTATGCTCAGCTAAAATCTACCTTGTCATGAATTTTAATGGACAATGTAATTTAATCCTATCACTAGTGGTTCCGCAGTGGACTGATCGATTCCCAGCAGATCACCGAAGTCAAGCATCACTGGTTGCGGTCAGTGTGCGGGTGGGTGAATACTTGGATCAGTCTGCGTAGGGACCGAGGGTGTGCGGTATTGGACCTAGTTAAACTGTTCTACCGTAAAGTGCTCGTCTTCGCGTGCAGGTCGTTGGGCTACCGAAGAAGGGGTGCCATTCCCTCTGCAGAGGATCAAAATTGTGATGACATGTCTTCGGATCATCCTCAGGGATGTTTCCCAGACCGTCGCCAATAGCCCATTGCGCAGCTCTAGTGCGACGTAAATGAACTACAACAACTACAGCAACCTATTACTAGTGCGACGGCAGCTAAAACGTCATTATGGACCTAGGTGACAATATTTTTTAAAAAAGCTTTAAAAAATGGTTTTTAATCATTTTGGAATGAAAGGTTTGAAACTGCAATATTTTTGCTTTATTGAAAAAAGGTTTTTAGCTCAAACATTTTCGTGGCAATGAAAAGAAAATTTTGACACAAGGTTGCCGTAAGGTTACATGCCTTCTGGGACTGGTTTGACAGTAATAATACGACAGCTCTCAAAAGGATTCCGGCCCACTGTGGAATCCAGCGAAATGGGGCGATACAGTTCCTTGTAAAAAAGGGGACTTTTGTCCTCCAGAAATATAATTCCAGACTACCTTTTAGTAATGTCAAATGTCTAACAAAGAACATCTTCTGGGATTATTTCCGCGAGGAACTCAAAAATCTCAATTCTGATAAATCTTGGATTAAGCAAATTCTCAATATCCCTCAGTGTCCTAGGATGAAATCTGTTGCCATGTTTCACCTGATATCTGAACATGATTGCTTGAATATACATCTCGCATCAACGTGGTTCCTGATCATTTTTCTATCCTGTGTTATCTCCAAGAAGAGATGGACTTGTCTCAACTCTTTAGATGCCATGATCTTCGTCGAATATCAATCTGAGAACGCTGCTGGACTGTCTCATTTATAGATTTATTGTGACCTTTTTAATATCCAATTGTCTTTTAATGTACTATTGGAAACCAAAAAAAGATCATAACAGATTTTAGGTTATACCTGATTGTATCTGAGTGATAGAAATTAACTAAGAAATCAGTCTGATTTGTCCGTGATATTTCAGGCATCTTCTTTGTTATTGAAAACCATGCTGTGTGATATCGAATATCTTTTAAAGGTGATAAATGAAAATTTTCACTTACAAGTGTCGGTTGTGTCAATGAAAAGTTTTTCAACAGCTATTCTGTGATTATACCTTTAATTACGTTTTTATATAAAGTTTTTCTTTTATTTATATTTTATTTTGAATCTGAAAATAATTTTTTTTTCAGAACCTGGAAGGAGACTCAAAATTGCGCTATTTGTAGCACTGCTTGCGCTGCAAATGTTGCTGATTATGCTTAATATGTATTTCTGGATGGATGAGAGGAGTTATAAAAAGTTTGCTGTGTAATATCAAACTAATAAGATGTGAAAAATAAATATACTTAAATAAAATGATCTATTTTTTTTTAACATAGTCGAGTATTTTTTCTCGAACTAAGTTAATTTCACAATTAGAGGAATTAATCATAAAAATAACTGAAGATGCTAATAAGACAAAGCTCAAAATACAGCCAGTTTAGATTTCAAAAAAAGTCATTAAAACGCTTTGTTTTGTACAAAAAATTGTATAAAAAAAGGTGTGTGTACAGCACACGTATTTTTGAAATTTTTTTAGCTGGGAATTTAAAACTCTATATGTTTATGTAACTTTGATTCCATAAAATGCACAATATTAAAAAATCTTTGATATTCAGTCATATATATATATATATACATACATATATATATATATATATATATATACAAG